ACCGTATTCATCTGTATTTTCGGTACAGATTTTCCGTATTTTTACTTCGGACGTTCTGAGCTGATTCATTTCTTAAATTCAACACATATACAGGTCGGTCATCATGGATTCGTTTTTATTAGAGTAACGTGGAGAGGAGGGGGTCGAGTGGTCCAATGCGGGAGCTTTATATCTTTAGGTCTGTCATTGAGTCGATTGACATGGTTTCGATCCCATTGTTGTAATTGACAATAAGTAGAGTCGCCTGCCCAATCACGTCTGTTCCCCGGTATCCGCCCACTGATAAATCCCGGTACGAGCATGCTAAGCGTGTTAGTCCCGAAATTAGCTAATTTGTGTCGTGTAGATGTTAAACCCCACCCCTCTTATTGGAGTAGGCCTAACGTCTACTAGAGCCTTGATTATCAGAAAACGAAAGACTATAATTTTCTTGCGTTACCTTCATTTATTACCAAGAAGGTGCGTTGCGTTGGCATAAAGAAGGAAACTTAATTTTGGACTGTGTAGATATTTCAGTTAGTATATGTAATTTTAACGTGAGTCGACTTGCATGTATTTCCAAGTTGCAATTCTGGTGGTGATATCCCGACAGTCTAACTAACTCAAAGACTGACATTTTAACGGTAGGAAGAGGGCACCGAATAAATTATACTCTAACCAAATGAAAGCTGTTCAATACTATTGTCTTGTATATCTGCTAGTATATCTCCTTTTAACTTGAACTTGTGCTCACATATGTTTTCCAACGCTAATACTATTTTAATCTAAAGCCTGTTTTTGTCATGTATTTTAGTGTTGTTAACCTCCATAATCCATTTGTTACCGCAGATATTTCTTTATTTGCAGCTTTGTATCCATTCATTCATGCAATAATACTGCTGTGTTTTATTGAAGTATCTTAGGTGGTAACAAGATTTTATAAAAAAGGGAAGTTATTATCTCAAATCATTATCAATAGGATAATATACAGCAAATGAATATTTAGGTTAACTATTGCGGATTTGAAAGTGCTAACAAGATTTCGTAACAATATGGTATAATTTTGAAGGGGATTATTGAAAACAAGATTTCGTAACAATATGGTACAATTTTAAAGGTGATTTATTGAAAAAAAAAATCAATAGGATTCTTCGAGTTTCATTGAGAAAGACATCCCATATCAATTCCAAACATATATTTTGATTGAAGTCTTTAGTGTACTAACAATAAATGTGAACGGACGTTGACTTCATAACTAAAAGGGTATAAAAAAGATTTCTTAATAAAGTGGAATAACTCTAGAAGTTGAACTAAAACAAATATAGTTCTTCCTTTCAATGATAGATAACAAAAATAAATTCTAGAAATGTAGTTTTTATGACAAAGGATGATAACTCAGGGAGTAAATATTGAAATTGGGCTTTTTTCATTTATTTATTTCCTAACAAGAGATACGAAAGACAAATTGACAGAAGCGCAACAACATAAATATATGGACGTATAAAAAAGCCACATTCAAGGGCGCAAATCCGTGAATTTAAATAAGGGAATAAAACACAAGCCAAGATTAAATCATTTCCTAATAAAGCATGCATCAGATTTGGTTCTAATGAATTGTTATTAGATTTATTAATAACTTTTAAAAATAATTGGGAATTGTTATTGAATCAAGCAAACTTGCTTCAGGACTGTACTTTCTTTAAAATATTAATGTACCCCAGACAAAGATATTTTGTTATTATGTGGGTGTTACTGTTTAAAAATATTGTCATGGTAAACCGCTATTAAACATTTGAACTGATTCAGAAGAACATTGTGTTAACCTCCATTAGCGCAGTGGATGCTTACGGCTTATACAGGTTCTGTATCAGGACTAGTGCTTGGTTATAACATTTCTATCTTGTCCATGATCTACCTCTGAAAACATCTGAAGGTTGAACAGTGAGAGACAACGTTTAACGGACGACACGAAATGTCTGTTTAGTTGGCAAGACAAACAAAACGTCCGAAAGTAGACAAAAGAGCGCGTCAAATTATTTGAGATGTGTCAGAAAAGTTGACAAGACAGAATCATCAGCAAATATCGAAAAAAAAAAGAGTCCAAAAGTTTGAAAGGGTTCACAAGAAATAGCGGCCAAAGAGAGATATAACGCCTGAAAGCTGAAAGGAAAATCTATGAAATTTTTCAAAAGTTTAATATTGTAACAAAATGGCTATAAATAATATCCTTTGATAATATATAGAACTATAAACATATCCAAATAAATAATCGATTCTTTAGTATGAATACAATCAAATAAAGTAACAAGCAATTAATAAGTAATTATCAGTAACTGACGTGGATATTGTAACTTTATTAACATCGGCATTAACAACTCGGGCCAAACAAATAATACTTGTGTTAATGATTTCTTTTTGTGGCCATTTTAAATACGTTAATACTTTACTCCCATTTCTATCTTAATTACTGATCAGTAAGGTTCTGGAAAAAATGCCAATTCGGACTGTTGTCAATAGCGAAATGTCTGTTTTAGAAATTGTCTTAGAAAACCACGTTAATACCGATTGATAGGACATGTGAAATGAGGACAAAGCTTTCATTAGGTGAAGTAACCATAAACACAGGTAGAGTGGGTTTTTTTGTCTAAAAATACAAGAGACGTTTAGCACAAATTAATGTTGACCTGGATAAAGGTTTAACGTCTTGTCTACCACATTAATGCTCTTAACCACATTCGAAAATAATTGACTATATATTGAATTGTATATTATATAACCTTTCTGTTGTAGCAAAATGGTTATTTACTTTTCTTTGAAATAATATCAAGATGTGTCACCAGTTTGGCTATGGTCCCAACATTTCAGTTCAGTTATATGTGCTCGTGGTTGACGATACTACATTGATATAACTATATTCTTAAACTAACCAGTTCTAAAATAAAAATGTTCTTCTCCGACAGGATTAATGAAAACAGGGGTTTAACGTCCTATTCCGACTGGGCTAATGAAGATGGACATAAGCCATACACTGTGCTATGGGTGAAATTTTGCCAGGACAACGGCGCTACAGCCTGTTCTTATATCGATTTCCAACTGCCAAGGGCTCTTTTACGTGCACGCCAATGTGTACACGGACCTCGGTTTTTCATCCCACCGAACGATTATACGTTGTCCCTTGCCATACCCACACCCCGACCCACACACAGAGACACTACTGACAAGGCGGAACCACACCAGAAATCCAGATGAACTTTATCGGCCAATACAGGAATCGAACACGGGACCTCCAGGTGAGCGATCAAAAGTGCAACTCACAGAGCCACCGTGACTACCCTAACCAATTCTGGCAGATTTATGTAATGAGATCTGTGGTGACTCTGTGACTAAGACAATGGCTCATTAAGGTGGATGTTCCGGGTTCAATCCAGGTGTTGGCCGAGAAAGGTCCTCGGGGTGCGTGGCAAGAAACAGCGTCTAGTCGTTCGGGTGTTACAAAAAACGACTTCCCGTGTACGCATTGGCGTGCATAAAAGAACCCCATAGCACAGTGTATGGCGTATACTCTATCTATAAGTGCAGAAAAGTGGGATGTTAAATTCCATTTCATTCCTTTATTTATTCATTGCCATCCGAAATAATTTACATTTTGCAGAAAACCTCATCATAGTTTTTTCTATCATGTGAAAAAAAGACCCTTTTGATTATCACGCTGCATTAATCTATAATATAGTTAAGTTTACGTCACGGTCTTGATAAATGTGCAACTTTGCATTTTTATTTGTCTTTGTTGCGATTAATAAATTGTATTAAATGTTTCATATAACACATGCAAAGCGGCTTCTACTAAATGCTTCCTTTAACCGACCGTGTTTCATCGATTTAAAATAATCCTATCAATTATTTTTATTATGAGTGTGCCATTTTTTGTTCTTTATAATTAAAGCATCTTACAGTTTCTTGTTATTTCATGTTATATTAAACAATACTGTTTATCAAGCTGAAATAGTTCCCACAGCAACACAACATAAATATTGTTTTATATACGCCCACAATGAAATGTGGTCGTATATTGTCGTAGCCCCCGCCTGTCCGTTGGCCCGGCGCCCGGCTTCCACAATTGCTTGTGAACGCTCTAGAGTTTAAAGTCAATGTTTAAGGTCATGAGAAAAAGCTCATTGATTTTCAACGAAATCCGATAATCACTGCCAGAGTTGTGACTCTTGATAACTTTGCAAAGTCTTGTGGATGCTCTGGAGGCTGAAGTTGATATCCGATGAACTTGAAATTTATACACATAATTTAATTAAAGTCGTGAGACAAAGAACAATATTGACTGTCATCGATTTCCGATAATTTCTTGCCAGAGTTATTGCCAATGATCACTTTGAAAAATCTTGCTGACGCTCTGTTTATAAACTGTGTTTATGGCCACAAGATTGTATATTTCGTTTCGTTTTTTTATGTTTTCAATGGCCTCCACCTGGCGTAGTGAACAAAAGTAACAAGAAATTTTGAACTATAAAAACCGAAACGAAATAAGATCTGTGTTTTAAAACTGAACCCCGATTACAAAACTACAGAAATAATTAAATTAAAAAAAAGTTAACGCCCTAAACAATCGTCATATTTGTTTCCAATTTGTAGAACAAACATGGCGATTGCTTACGGCATACAAAAACAGAGGCAGGCCATGCCCACATTCAGTATATACCTTGTCAAGCACAGTGTCCACATCCTGTTAGCTAGTCAACTACCAAATACCTTCTGACTGATTGACGTTTTTTCACTATCAGCTTACTGAAAATATTATTCCTACACAATTATTATGTCTGATCAGGTTATTTCTGTAGTTTTGTAACCGGAGTTCAGCTTTAATCAGATTGGGGCTAATCGAATACGAAATATACATCACTGAATCTATTATTGTTCTATTTTACAGAAAATATACATCACTGAATCTATTATTGTTCTATTTTACAGGAAATATACATCACTGAATCTATCATTGTTCTATTTTACAGGAAATAATACGGTAAAGAAAAGATAGTATGAGAGTGATGCCATTATGTCTATGTTGGTCCGGAAGGCTACCGTCCATCGTAAATCCCGTGGTACCGTCAAACGAAAACCACCTGGAACGTCCGTTGCCACCCGTAACCAGACACTGAGTAAAACCACAGAAAACAGAGACCATTCACAATCACCGATATTACCAAAGAAAGATTTTAATGTCGTCAAATGTGCAGAAAACACAGTTGTGGTAAGAATATTTCAGCTTTGACATGTGATACAATTTCGGGTCTAACATTCAATTCAACTTTGGAATATCTTCTCAGATTCTACTTTAGATTTGTTAAAACAACGTCGCATTATTAAGAATGCAAGGAATGACGCCGGACAAAATTTCCTTTACTCAAATACAGAAGTTGGATCTGACAGTATAGGGATATGATGACAGAATACGTTGAATTCAAGTATTGTTTTTAGACAGAGCTAAATGCAATTTTATTGAGAGGAAAGTTGAAGCATGAATTTATATAAATATTTAAATTATTCTTTGGCATAAATTTTTTTATTATTCTTAAAAGGAAAGTATACAAAAAACAAAGGTTATATATAGAGTGTACGACACAATATTACTTTGTTAAAAACCATTTTGCTAAAAAAAAATCATTCACGTCAATCAATTTTAACCATAAAACGTTTACATTTTCGTTCAAAAATGATAAAACTCGATCATTTTGAACTTAATTGATGACCTATATTTAAAGTAGCCAAGTCTTTAATAACGCAGTATCATCCACAGCCCTCAACATTGCAAACACGACTTATTCGTCAATTTAAATCAATATTGATGTTGTTATCTTACCGTGGGCTTCTGGTATCCAATATTTAAGACACAATAAAAATTTTAAACTTGGCGCCATTTGTAATGAGCGACTCGGTGAACGAGGCTAAACATATCCCCAAGGGGAAGATTGCCTGAGTAGACTGGAATAACCAAACTCCAAAGACTGCCATTCAATATGCATTCTTCGCGTATTTCACCGAACATATAACTGATCAGAAATTACAGTATACATTCATATTATATTAATTATATGTGTTGCGACCCATTTGTGCCCATTTCTAGATGCCAAATAAAAGAGAATTGGCTCCTTTAAATTTTAGATTGGTTTATATTCGTTTCACACATCTCTATGTGTTTAAGGCAAGAAAATTAATAATCATTTAATTCTGGACAATAGGCACCATAATAACTATTAGTCGTCTTGCGGCTATAAACCATTATCCATTTTTTTCTAGCCTAATCGCATAACCTTTTGTTATTAGTATTTTATATCCTACTGAAGTTGATATCTCTTTCTGATAAATTTGTCTACTACATTATTTCTTGTCTCACAAATTTTGGATTTAAGGGAAAAAGATATAGTAATAAGACTCCTATCGATTTAATGTTTGAAACAATTTCTAGTACAGACAACCTAAATTAAAGATAAAAACTAAACTCATGGGAAGTTTTAAACCCAGTAGACCGAACATAGTAAAACCGAGGATTTAATCCGGATTAGCATCCCTGGGGTTATATCAATATTAAACCAGCCTATAGGATAAAATAAAAGTAATGGAATGCAAGTGATATAAAATATATTAGAACTCTAAGATGTATTAACCTTTAAGTGTGTCAATGCGTCTCATATCGAATGATAAAAAAACGTAAAGCGTATCTAATTAAATTTTACTAAGTTCGGAAAGGTTGCATTGTAATTCACTGAAAAGGATCAAAGTATTTGTCTTATTTCATAAAGACGTCAATTGAATCGGGACTCTGAGTAACTTTCTATGGATGGCAATTCAGTTCCTGATTATGCGCATGGTTGCAGCTCAACAGTTTAGCAATCCTTTCCTAAGCAGTAATTTATCATGTGTTGTAACATGATACATTCGACTCTCAAAGACTCAGGCTGTCTTCTATGGCGGGGTATCGGGTTCAAAATGCAATCTAGAGTAAAAAGCAGAAAGTCAACAGTAAAAAGTAGAAAATCTAAAGTAAACGGGAAAATTCTTATCTAAAAGGGTGAAAACCTATAAATTTATGTACTTAGTCAGTAGAAACATCAAGCTTTTCAACTTTTAATCGCCATAATTCTACTTTCATGGACAAAATTTCTATTTTCTACTATCAACTTTTGACTTTCGACTTTCCGCTTTCTACTTTCTACTGTCAACTTTTGACTTTCGACTTTCCACTTCAGATTTTCTACTCACGATTTTCTAACGCAGATTTTCTCCAATACTATGGTGGCTGATAGTGGCCATGTAATTTTTCACCATTTTCATAACCCGACAACACGACATAACGACAGCTGTCCTTGTCAGGCCCTCCGTCCTGCATCACTGACAAGGGGGAACCACGCCGGAAAATCTGGATGAAATCTCTCGGCCAATGAAGGGATCGAACATGATCGGGACACCAGCAAAGGTACTAACGGATACATTAAAGACGGATTTAAGTAAGATTTAGATAAAGACTGTGCCATTAATGATTGAAATTTTCAATATATTTAAAATGTAACGAAAAATAAAAATACTGAAAATTTCAATCAAATTGTTTTGTTTTTTTCTGGACGAAGTTATGAATGTTTGAAGTATTGACAAATTTTATTAACGTAGTCTCGATTGTCAAGTACCATTGCTAAGATAAAAATCGAAGTCTTGCGTTTCCATTTTAACGTTAACCGATTAAAGAGCGCGTGTGGTATATTCCATGTAATATCACAACCACCCGATGACTAGAGAGTTGATTATCGGCATGGCATGTGAAGGAATATCTAAATGATAATGTATATAACATTGGAAGACAAAACAAAAAGACCTACTGTAGACAGATTTCGTACTTTTCCAGATTTCTTTTTCTTTAAGTGAACTTATCTCCAACTATTAGTAATTCCCTTGATTACTTGTTTACCTCTTCCTATTACTTTTGTAATTTTCAGAATATACTTCTGCTGATCAGCCTTTACACTCATTTCTTCCAAACCCAACATTGAATCATGGTGTGCATTTAATATTCTGCCTTGGTCCTTTCAAATTACATTTAGCCTCAAGTTCGATAGATGAAACCTTACTTTCTAACTGAATTGGATTCTTTTTTCTGTCTGTGGACAAATTAACTTATTCAAATTTTAAATTAAATTTATATGACGCTTGAAAGTTGGTGTGTCGTGAACAGATGAGGCTATAGGAAAGTTAAAGGTGGTGAAACACGAAGTAATACGATTGAACTTGTAATTTAACAACACATTTAAGTGCTTGAAATATACCACGAGCGTGCTATGAGGAAATTTTTTCACGGAATAAGGAGCTAGTCCCTAGACTTATTTCGAATTCCATCTGTGACGGGTTCTTTTACCTGCACTCCAATGTATACACGTAATCTAGGGTTTTCGTCCCACCCGAACGACTAGGTACCATTCCTTGCCAGACCCTGCGTCCTCTGCCACTGACAAGGGGAGACCACTCTGGAATTTCCGAGGAACTTTCTCGACCAACAATGGGATCGATACCTCCATAGTAGCGAGCCAGCAATTCACTCACTGAGCCACCGCGACCCCTTGAATGAATGTAATATAATACAGCGTTCCGAGAATAATTTTTTATTCTTCAGATAAAAGCATAAAACATTTTGCTCTGAATACAGAAAGAAAGTGATCCAAAAGATGTGAGCAGTCTGGCGTCGATCGTCTCTCGATTGACATGATTTTGGTAAAACGTCAAGCGATTACCTCCAGTATAGGTGGCTATATCTAACTCGAAATTAACAATTTGATAATAAATGGGTAAAATGTTCAGATATTCGTCAAAGCGATCTAAAATTTAGGTTATTTTTATATCCGATTTTAATGATTTTTTTTTTATGTGTGGTGTTCCGGGTAAAAAGTGAAAGTAATTATTAAAGTCAAACATAACGATACGGCACTGGGTGATCAATACATCAATACCAAAATGTGCAGTGTGTATTTAGGAGCTTATCTTTATATTATACCTAAAGATATATGCTAATACTGTGAACTACTGGGATTAACTTTTAGAAAAATTAAGCGCTACCCTCAAGTAAAGATAATGTTAGAGGTAACAATGATACTACATCGCCATATTGAAAATGGTGATGTTTTTTCAGTGGTTGACGGAGGTAACTGTTAGAAGTGTTTCTGGCGGTTGACAGTTCCGTCAGTGAAGCCATGAGTGCAGGGATACCTTGAAGTATATAAAGATTGTCTAGTAGTTGTCATTTTTATCTTTCTGGCGCTAGATTATAAATGAAATAATTTATAAATTGAATGAAATAAAGACAAGCTTCATATATTTCTGGCGGACAAAATCCTCTAATTTCAGTACATGTTAAACCTGTTTTTACAGTATACTCATACTCAAACATATAGAAAACGTTGACCCTAGCAAGCTAGATCAGTGTCCAGTCCTTATGACCTTGATAAGACACTTTATCCCCATCTGTATCTGGGTACCGGTAAGATAGTATAAGGTAAATGTTGTCTGGCATGGAAAGTCTGTATGTTGCTGACAATGACTTCTTAAGGAAGATAGATGTAGGAGATACAGATATTTGGAAGCCTTACGGTTGTATATATATGTTTCACTATGTCGGCTGTGTGTGCTTTTAAACTCTGTGTTAGCCATTTCATATCTCATGCCTATGCCCATTTAGGTACTAGCTAAAACCAAAGTTTATGATTTGCAGATAAACTGCACTGGAATAGTCCGATGTCTTTTAGAATGCTCATCATCTGGTCTAGGACTTCTAGATTCCTAGGTGTGTGAATATTTATCGTAGAGATGTCGTTATATAACCATTAATTTTAGAGATAAGTGCTGGATTATAACTTTTGCTATTCAGCCAAGCCAGGTACCCTCAAACTAGTCCCATTTAAATATACCATATGGAAATCTACTGCAATATTAACCCATTTTCAGAAATCCACGCATGCCATTGCGGCCTAACTTCAACCCCCTTTAAGAAATAAATATACAGAACATTTGGGAGATAATCATAGGTCTGATTCAACAACTAGATCATACAGCTTCTCGAGCAGACGAGTTTGAATTATAACTCGAGTATATTCATTGTCATTGAATACCATTTATTCTAAAGATGGAGGACAATGTGGGTTGACCGATGCTACCTATATTAAAGGCACATAAACCTGTAATTGCTCGCAAACATGCAATAATGAAACATTT